CTGCTACCTTTGAAGATGCAGCCCCAGAGGGACGATGGGGCTAGATATCAGAACATGAACCATTTGTTCCAGAGCTCTAGTAGTGTGGTCAGGGGTCGAGGTCTATTAGAATGTACCCCCTTCCTTCTCACAGGAAGCTAACTTCTGGGGAAGTAAAGACAAAGGTCAGACTTTCTCCTTCTCTAGTTGAGAAGACACTTTCAGTCCATTCTTCTCATCCCCTGAAATTCAGGATGAAAGATCTGTCTCATGACTCTAGAAGAGTAGGGTAACTCTCCTTTCTGCATCTCTGTACAGCAAATGTCCTTATACAAATACCTCCCAGTATCCTGAGGGAGATTAAGTAGTTCTTTGCTAAAAGTTTCAGGGAAATGTCCTAAAGCCACACAGGGTCCAATGAGTTGGTGCAGTGGAGGTAAGGGGTAGACAAGAGACAAGGCATTGTGATATTGAAACGAGCTAATTTGCTCCTTTGACCCACACGGAACTGGGGCAAATCTTCATAGCCCAGGCTAGAAGTTGGAAATCTGAATATTTAAGGCATCAGGCAAGCATAATAAAGGAAAGAAGCTGGCAGGAAAGGCTGGGATGAAGTGGAGCATGTACCTGGCTAAGAATAAGACAAAGGCTATTCAGCACAATGGAATTGTTGCCCTGTAAGAATGTGGTTCAGTGAGCTCAGATATCAGGGAAAGATTTTTAAAGAAAAGTACAAAATCAGGATCTCTAGGTGAATTGTCCCAGTTTTCACTAATTAAAAAAAAAAAAGCATTTATGGCCAAATGGCTATAGAGAAGATCCTGGCTTTCCTGCTGCCAGTTTGTGATTGCCAGTTTAGGACTTACGACAGTATGTCAGAAGAATACAGTCCTCACTCCTCAATTCATTGCTGGCTATTCCCCACTGCACAGCACTACCTACCATCAGGGGGTCTGAGCCCCTTTCCTCAACACTCAGGATTTGGGTTATTTTCTCCTCCATCCTTATATGCTAATGCTGAGGGAGGTGGAGGGATGAGCAATGCCTATAGATAGGAATAGGGAAAGGGCTGCAGTCCTTTAGTTCTAATTTAGTTTCTCAAATCCATAGGTATGCTACCAGTTTTCTATTAAAGTACTGTAAGATAAACATATAACCTCACTGCAATTAAATTCCTCTTGAAGACACCCCAGGTAATCTACATGCAAAACTGAATGTTTCTCCTATAAAGCAGGCTAGAGCCATCCAGGGAGTTAAAATGATGCTACTTCCTGAGTCAACAAAGACTGTGCTACGCTAAGAAAAGAAGACTCAAATAATAATAATATCAGAAATTAAAGAGGCACCACCACAACTGATGCCACAAAAATGAAAAGCTCCTAAGACTACTATGAAAAGTTATATGCCAATAAATTGGGCAATCTAGAACAAAAGGATAGAAACATGCAATCTACCAATACTGAATTGAGAAGAAATAAAATGTGAAAAGGAAACTGAATCAGTAATAAAACACCTACTAACAAAGAAACCTCAGGACTAGATGATTCTACAGGTGAATTCTCTCAAACTTTTAAAGATAGGTAACACCAATCTTTCTTAAATTCTTCCAAAAAAAAATTGGAAGAGGGAACACTTCTGAACTCACTTTTTGAGGTCAGGATGGGAAAAAGATAGTGTCTTTAAAGATGGTATTGGGAAACTATATCCACCTGCAAAAACTTGAAAACTTATCTTGCACTATACACAAAAATCAACTCAAAGTGGATTAAAGACTTAAACAAAAACTTGAAGTCTTAAGATTTCTAGAAGAAAGCAGGAGAAAATTTTTGACATTGGCCTTGGCAATGATCTTGAATTTGATACTAAAAGCACAAGGCAACAAAAGCAAAAATAATTAAGTGGGACTGCTTCAAACTAAAAATCTTCTGCACTGCAATGGAAAAATTAAAATAAAAGACAACCTATTGAATGGGAGAAAATATTTGCAAATCACATATTTGCTGAGGAGTCAATATACAAAATACATATTTTTTACTCAGTTGTAAAAAACCTCAAATAGCCCAATTAAAAGCAGGCAAATACTCTGAATAGACATTCATTCAAAGAAGGTATTTAAATGACCAACAAGTATACGAAAAGGTACTCAACATAAATAATCATCAGGGAAATGCAAGTCAAAACCACAATGAAATATCAACTCAACTGCTTAGGATGACTATTACATGAAAAATGAAGATTATGCCATTGGTGAGGATGGGGGGAAAGGGAACTCTTATACAATGTTGATGGAAATGTAAATTGATAGAGTTGTTATAAAAAACAGTATGGAATTTCCTCAAAAAATTAAAAAAAGAACTACCATACGATCCAGCAATTCTACTTCTGAGAAAATATTTAAAGAAAATGAAATTCATGGATCAACATAGAGGACAGTGATCTACCTGAAATAATCCAGATACAGAAGAAAAAAATACCACATTATCCTATTGACATGAGGAATCCAAAATGGTCAAACTTACAGAGGGAGAGAGTAGAATGATGGTTACTGGGAGGTAGGGAGAGGGGAATAGGGAAGGTATTGTCAAAGTTTCTGCTATGCAAGGGGAATATGTCTCAGAGATCTACTGTACAGCATATTCCCATAGTTAACCATGGGCCTTGAGTACTGAAAAATTTGTCAAGAGGGCAGATCTTGTGTTAGGTATTCTTGTCTCTCACACACACAAATAAAAAAGTAGATGGTGTAGAAAACTTGTGAAGGCAATAAATATGTTTATAATATTGATTGTGGTCTTGGTTTCATGAAAGTATATTGTATACTTGTCTCCAAACTCATTTAACAGCATGCATTAAATATGTACAGCTTTATGTATGTCAATCATGCCTAATAAAGTACTTGTTTTAATTTAAAAATACCTCAAATCCACAAAGAATCAGAGAATTCTTCCCATGGGGAAAAAAACATTATGTCTCATAAGGGGTAAAAGAATGTCATTAAAACAATCTGAATAGAGAAAGATAGTTTCCTATCTGATGTGGAGACAGTCAATTCTTATATACAGTCAATTCTTTTCTTCTTTCTTGTGGTGCAAAAGGTCTTTGAGAAGATCCTGTCAGTTCAGGAGAATATAAAGTTAATAATAACAACTACCACAACAGGAACGACGACTTTGGTTGACACCCATCTGCTGAATAAACACTGTGGTATGAGCTTCAGGTACATTGCCTTAATTATCACAAAACTCCATCACATATTGTTTATTTATTAAGAATATGTTCTGAACATATGCTAGGGGCTACGGATACAGGGATAAACAAAATAGTCATGATCTCTGCTTCTGCAGAGCTTATGGGAAAATAGAAATAGACATTATACAAAAACAAATAAATACTGTCATGTGGAAACTCACACTGACCCCTTCAGATCAAGCGGTCTGGGAAGGTCACTCTTAGAAGATGATGTCTGTAAGCTGGATCCTAAAGAAAAACGAGGATCCAGACAGGCAGCAGAAGTTATGTGAGTAACTCTAACACAGAACACTTTCCTTTAATAGAGTTGCTGATGAAAGATTAGGTAAAAAGAGATAGTGGGGAACAGTAATGCTAGCTGGGGCTGAAGATGGGCCAGGTCATCCAGGCCATGGAGATGCAGCTTCCTTCTGAGTGCTCAGGGAGTTTGCAGGGGTTTAAACAGATAAGAAAAGGATCAGATTTATACTGAAAATTTCCCCTGTTGTGTAGAGTAGATGGGGGATGACAAGAGCAAAAGTTGGGGACAGCTGTTCAGAGTTTTTTGCCATGTTCCCAGGTTAGAGACAATGATGGCTGCATATAGGAGGGGGTTTGAAGACTTGGGAAAAAGTGAATAAGTCCAGGATATATACTTGGAGGTAGATCTGGTGATAGAGAAGCTGGAGTCAGGAAAAACCCAGGTTCCTGGTTTGAGTAACAGGGTGGATATATTACCATTATCTAGGAGTCTAGGAGACTAAAGAAGTTAGTCTCAGCCCAAAGAAGTTAGGCAACTTGATCCAGGAGGTATGTCTCGTAAATGATGAATGAGGATATGGACCCATCCTCCTGGGTCATTCAGCTGCAGAGATAACATGTAACCACCACATGGTCCCCTCTTCCAGTGAGTCATAATCCTGCTGCTTTCCAAAAGGAGAGGCACAGCTGAAGTATCATCTCTGTCAAACATAACTCCATTTGCTAAGTTTCCATGGAGAAAGTCAATATCCAAGTGTGTTATCTGAAGCATGTTTGGGTCTGCTGCAGATTACAATATGTTATTTGGATGACATGTTGGAAAACTGTTATTCCTTAGATTTTGACGTAGGTAAACAGGTGCATATATGGTGGTCTGGAAGCAATGATCCTGGATATTCAAATTCTGTTGCTTGGCAGAGACCAAGCTCTGTTCTCTCGTGGCATCAAGGGAAGATGTGTCTTTCCTGAATTCCTTTCAGGTCCTTCCACAGCTTACATGAAGCTGTCAAGAAATGGGTTGACTCTAATGGGAAAAAGAGGAAAATGAAGTAAGTTAATAAGAGCCTCAGGCCATACCTCATGGCTACAGAGGAGATCTGAAGAGCACCGGCAGGCACATAGAGCATTAACAGCAGAAGGTGGGGTTAAATTACAAAAGTAAATAGGTTGAAAACTCAATTATACATAGTGATCCAAAGATGAGATAACTTCTTGGTTATATTTTAGTGATGTTCTGAGACTTTTGCAGCTTGCTGGTATTTGTATATCTGAAAAAACCTTCTTTACTTTTACTTTATTTGCAAAGTCAGGTCTGAAGAGAAGATTAAGAATATAAGAGCGTGGGGCAATTATGAACTTACCTGTTTGGACTGATGAATTGTGGAGTAAATTGTGCTGGAACCATTGTTTTTTGGAGGTATTTGAATTTCTGTGTTCTGTAAAAAATAGTAATATCCATTTGGCTCACACAGGCAAAGGTAGTCATACATCTATACACTCCTAGGTGCAACAAGAGAATGCTGTCCTGTTCTTCAGGAGGAAGTCTAGGGAGTGTTAAGCAGGGGAATCAGGAGACCAAAAACTGTTAGCAAGCAAACAGTTAAAGGTTTAGTATCATTTCCTGAGCCCCAAAGAGTACAACCTCCCCTCCCCCTGCAAACCAGTACACTCAAGAGCCAGATAGAGCCTTTCTGGCAGCTGGTGAGAAGATAAGGCATTCTTGTGCTGTATTCAATTCTTTCCTTCCTACATTTTTTAGAACTGACTTTTATCCCAGATGATTATTGCATTTTATCTTCTGGCTCAGTCAACTTTATTGGACTTCTGTTGCTTGGTGTGTTAAGAGTGATTCCTTTTGCTTCCAAAAGGAAGTTAGAAATGCAATATGAACTGAGCAAGTGAGAGCACCCCTTCTTGTTCGCTGTCTTTAAGAAGCCTCCTTTTTTGGATATCTGTGAGGGAGTTTTGCTTAGGGAATTCAAGATTTCTAGTTAGGCTGTTGCTTCCCTTAGTTGGAGAAGAGCCACTTGAGGGCTTATGTTTCAGAAGACATGGAAACTGACCTCCCAGGATGTATAGTGTTATTTAAAACATGCCACCTGCGGGTGCTTTATTTGGGGTAGTAGGGGAATTGCTGATGCATGACCAAGGAGTCCCTGATGCCTGACAAAGGCCATCCTGTTACATTTCGAGAGGGAAGGGGAGGCTGCTTGTGCTTGAGTCTTCTCTTGTGGAGTTGCAAATTCTTGTCCCCTGCCACTACTAAGGGATTACTTCTGAGTT